TATTAGACTTTATAACAAAAAACCAAGCCTATGTATTAAAACATTCAATAAAGAAATACTATATTAATTTTTTTATTCATTATAAACATTTTATTTTTATCAATTTGGAACTAAATTTCCTTCCCTTCGATATTAATATTGGTTTTTCAAATTTGCGTAACGATCTTCAAGCCAATAAAATTTAATTTTTGCGTGATGTCTGGAAGGGAGATCGTCACATAATTTAGCCAATGAAATCAAATGTCCACTATGCTTACAATACCATACTGAATGTCCCTCGATTTAAATGCCAATTACAATTTGTCCTAGATCCCAATTCTTTTTGTCACATGAGTTTTCAAAAATTTCTGATCTACCCTTTCTAAGCTTAAATTCCTAACAAATAAAAATTTTTTAGAATAAGGCGCATCTTTAGGTTAAAATTGAATTTATGCAAATGATAATCATAATCATATTAAACATTTATATACTAAGTTTATTGCCCAATTAATTCAATTATTATGTAATTTCTAGACTTGTAATCTTTTTTGATTTATATATTACTAATATATAAAAAAATGATAATAATAATATCATACATTAATGACAATAATTAAAACATCTATAAAGTAAGCTGTATAAAACATAATAATTGAAAATTAAATAAATAGATATAATATTTTATTTATACATGAACTCAATAATTAATAAATATAAATAGTAATTTCACACATTTTAAAATTTTATTCATTCTTCTCCTGTTGTGATGTCGATTGTTGATTTGTTTCTGTAAGTACCTTTTGCCTTTCTATCACGTTGATAAAACTCTTGCAAAACCTTTTGTGGTATACGATTCAACATTTCTTTGGGGAAAACTCGAAGAATTCCCCAAGCACTATCTAATGATTCATAAATTGTTCTAGATTCATACGCACCTAAAATAATAATAATGTAATGATAAATAATATTCAATCAATAAAAAAATTTGCTTTTATAAATCTATAAATGTAATCAACTCGAATCCATTCATCTATCTATCTACCTTGTGCAATATAAGTTTTTTCAAATCTTTCCAAAAATTCAAGTGAAAGTTTATCTTCTTGATTCAATGCCTCTTCACCTACAACGGCTTTCATAGCAGCTGCATCTCTACCAATGGCATATTTAGCATACTAAAAAATCATTATTTTATCAATGAATATGTGTAATAAAAACAATAAAAATAAATAAATATACATGTATATTTTTACATAAAATTAACTTATAACTTTCAAATATCTTAAAATAAAATTGTGTATGAATATATATACCAATTGGTTGGAAACATCTCCGTGATCTTTTCTAGTCATACCCTCACCAATAGCAGATTTCATTAAGCGAGAAAGAGAAGGTAATACATTGATGGGTGGATAAATTTGTCGATTGTGCAATTGACGATCAACAAAAATTTGTCCTTCTGTGATATATCCTGTTAAATCAGGAATAGGATGTGTAATATCTATAATATAGTATAGATGATTAAAAAAAAAAGATAATATAAATATATTAATATAAACCTTTTCCTAATTATATATGGTTTATAACTTTCTTTTGTTAATTTAAAAAAAAATTCATCTTATTAATGAAAAAAACTTACCGTCATTAGGCATAGTCAGAATTGGAATTTGTGTGATACTTCCGTTCCTTCCTTCTACACGACCAGCACGCTCATAAATCGTGGATAAATCGGTATACATATAACCAGGATAACCACGGCGACCAGGAACTTCTTCACGTGCTGCTGAAACCTCACGCAAAGCATCGGCATATGAACTCATGTCTGTTAAAATAACCAATACATGCTTTTCAAGTTGATAAGCATAATATTCAGCAGTTGTAAGTGCCAGTCGAGGAGTTACGATACGTTCAATTCTAAAATTAAAATTAAATTAAATTTTTTAAATTCGTTCTTATAATTTTTCTTTTAAACAATTATAACGTACGTTGGATCATTAGCCAAATTTAAAAACAGAGTTACGCGCTCAATAGAACCATTTTCCTCAAAATCTTGTTTAAAAAATCTTGCAGTTTCCATATTTACACCCATAGCAGCAAATACAATAGAGAAATTGTCTTCATGATCATCAAATATTCCTTTATCAACTTTTTTTACAAGACCAGCCTGACGACAAATTTGTGCAGCAATCTAAAAAAAAAATTAAATAATAATAATAATGGAAAGGAAAAAGGTTAAGATTGTTAATTTATATTCAGTAATATAAACATATTTCTAATTTGTTGACTAAACTACGAAACTTTTTTATTTATTTATAAAACAGAACTTCACTTCATTATGAGGTAATCCAGCAGCAGAAAATATAGGAATTTTTTGTCCACGAGCAATTGAATTCATTGTATCTATTGCTGAAATACCAGTCTGTATCATTTCTTCAGGGTAAATACGAGAAAATGGGTTGATTGGGGATCCTAAAAAAGAAATAATTTTTATAAATATTAATTGTCATTATCATCATTTATGATTATTATGATCATGATGGTTTTTGTAATTTAACTACTTACCATTAATATCTAAAAAGTCTTCAGCAAAAACTTTTGGTCCTTTATCAATAGCTTTTCCTGAACCATTAAATATACGACCCAACATATCCTCAGAAACTGGAATTTTAAGTGTATCACCAGTAAATTCAACATGAGTAGCTTTAGAATCAACTCCCGACGTTCCTTCAAAAACCTTTTAGAAAAAAATTTTCTTTTAAGCATTAATAAAAAAATATTTATAATAGTTTTGATTTTAAAATGAATTAGTAAAAACCTGAACAATGGCCTTTTTTCCTTGAACTTCTAATACTTGACCAGCACGTCGACTGCCATCAGGTAATGTTAAATTAACAATTTCAGCAAATTTTGGAAACTAATAAAAAATAGTTTCTTTAATTCAGTTAATTCAATTATCATTATCATCATTATAGAAATAATCACTAAATAAATGTAAATAAATTACTTTGACATTATCTAAAACTACAAGTGGTCCATTCACACTAGAAACAGTTCGATAATCTGAATTATAAAAAAATTTATCTTTTATATATCTACCTTACAAAAATAATTGCAAATATTTTTTTTAAACTAACCTATACGTGGTATTACGGAATAATTTCTAGTAGCAGCTAAAGCATTGATTTTAAAGGCTTCTTTTGAATCGGACATTTTTTAAATAAACGTGAATATGAAAACGTTTAAAAAAAAAATTTAATTCAAATTATATTTTTATATTGATCAGGAAGGGATCTGAAACGATAGTAATAATATAAGATTATTTTGATAATCAAATATCTAGAGATCAACAAATACACAATCTTTATTTTATTTTTGTGATGAAATTTATGCATTTATTATATATAACATTATTAGTATAACTAACTACAAGAATAAAAAAAAAGATTATAATATTACAGATTGTCTCGGATAGATTTTAAATAAAAATAGTGATATAATATTGATAATAATGTTTATTAATTAATTAATTTATTTAACAACAATTTAACTAAATCCTCACTATTACTTGAAAACTTAAGCCAGAAATTAGTTATTATAGCGGCCATCAAAGTTGCACATATAAAAGTAGGTCCAACACGATCCTCATAAGGTCCCGGACTACGTCTCCTAATCATTCTAGCACGCCAAAGGAAAGTTCCAAGAGCATATAACATTATCATCATGGCAATAGCAGTAAACAGGAATGATGATATTTGTGCAACATCATCACCAAAGTTCAATAGTCCCAGTGCCATACCACCCAAAAGGATAGTAAAATGCAACCAAGATAAGAATGTCCTTTCGTTTGCGAAAAATACTTTTGGTTCAATGCGCACTGGTATTGCGATAGGCTTACCACGATGTAATTTTGGAAGACGACCCGATGATATTGTTGCTAGTATTTCTTCCTCTTCTTCAAGAATATTTGGTACTTCACGTGATCCATAATCACTATATTTTTGGGTGCGTTTTTTATTATCATTTAGAAGTAATGCTGTTGTTTCATTGTCATTATCATTATCATCATCATTATCATTAAATTCATAGCCATTCCTTGGATTACTATCAATTAAAACTTCAATGTTGTCGTCATCATCTACTTGAGTACTTGATGCTTCAGTTGTTACACTTGTGGTCATATCAGAAGCTGACCTAGGACGCTTTAGTTGGAAAGAAGTAGGTCTTTCTGGTTTTTTGCGAATATCAATGTCCATTTGTGGAAGCCAGAAAGGAAAAAGTTGAATTTTTCTATCCTCCATAAGAGTTGCAACTCCGTGAATAAATTTAGAAAATTTGGGCACGGCTTCAACCTATTTTGAATAAATATTTAAAAAGAGTTCTTGATATTTTTCTATCAAAAAAAAAAAAATATATATATATATATGATTTACCAAATGACTATGAACTAATTCTTGAACCCATTCTGGAGGTTCTTGACCATGTTGAGTTTGTAACTTGACTTCCAGTACAGCGTAAGGGAACAATTCAACTTCACCATCAGGTAATTGTGAAAATGGATAATCAATACCAATATCCATTCTTCGCCAATTATTTCCAGAACGTAAATTTGGATTATTTTCAAAATTATCTTCACGAACCATGGTCAACTCAGTGTCGAGTGATATACGAACACGAGCATCACCGGGTAATTGAAATGCCGTACGATTATAAAAGGTGCGGACGACTATTGTTATTTTAAAAAAATTTTTTATTAGTTTTTTTCTGAGAGGAAAAAAAATATAATTAAAAATACAGTACCTGGTTTTAATTTTTTTGTAATGATTCTATATTGGACTTCATTAGCCAATCTGGCTAAACTTGTAATTTCATCTTCCCCTTTTCCCTTGGCCTTCATCTTCTCGAACTCATTTTCCATCGTGTATTGTCCGAGAGAATATTTATTTACATGTTTTTCCTTGATGCGAAACCGCGCCTTCACAGATTTTTCACCAGTCCAATCTTCTCTGTGGGTTTTGCGTTCGACAAAAATTTCCTCGGTATCCATTCCACCATACCACCTTAATCTGATAGCTTCAGCACCTTCAGATTTTTCCAATCTACCAGTATAGAGGTCAAAGTTTTCATTGTCATAATAAATTGAGGTGATGGCTGAATCTGATGTTTCAAAATCCTTATCTAGATTGAACACTAGAACGGGTAGATGCTTTAAAATGATCAATTTGATCTCTGTTATGTTGTCCGGATGAACCCAATATTTTGTAGTTGAACGAACAAAATTTTGTTGTTGACCACCAGCACTAGAATCACCCTTTGTAGGATTCCCACGAGTACGAACTATATCATAAAGACGTGATAATTTTACTATTAGCGCATCATAATTTTCTTTATAGAAAGGTTTGGCATTTAGCCGAACCATGAACATGGGTTTGAGCACCCATCTTGTTTGTTTCTATAATAAAAAATAAACAAGTAAATATTTTTAAAATAACATATTTATTATGATGGGGGGTTTTTTTTAATGGTAATAAAGACTTACATCGTGTTTTTTAATAATTTTTAAAAAGCCAGTATAATTTAATCTTGTAAATTTAGCAAGGTCATGAACATCAGCTATGATCATTGACAATTCTGTATCAAGTAAAGTATAATTTTCTTCTTTGGCAGCAGAACCTAATTCGATGATATCTTTGATTTCTTTCTCTGAATGTAGGATTCGCCTATTTATTTCTCCAGATTTTACCTTCTGAAATTCATAGACCTTGTCTAATTCTTTTTCAAGAAGTTCAACAAATGCAGTCTCATCATCCTCGCACCATTGTCCATTCTCAAGACGAGTTCTAGTTTTTAGTTCATTCTTGAGCTCGTCGTATGCCAAATAAAAGTAAGTCCATTCTGGATATAAAGAAGTTTTTAAGTGATGACCAAATTTCATATTTATATTTTATTTATTTTATTTCAATTATCAGATATTTATTATTTTTTTTTTTCGATTAACGATTAAAAATTTTTTTTAATTATATTAATTATTATATAAACAGATAAACATGAAAAATAGTAGATAGATAGATTATAAACATTTGATATAAAAAAAGTAAGAGGGCGTTAATGAATTTTTAATTGATGTTTCTAAAATTTGCATGTTTTTCTCAGGTGAAACGTTGTAATTAGAGATTGTGGATTAAGGTTAATTAAGGCCCTAAAACTAAACTTGTCAATATTTAATGTAAAATAATATATATATAAAGATTTACATTAACTAGTTAGGGTTACTAAATAATTTTAGGGAGTTAATTCTTTCAAGATCATCCATCTACGGCAAGAAGCGCCATTTTATAATTCGTGAAAGATGATAATAGTATATATATAATAATAAATAAACAACAATAATAACAGAACATAAATATTACGTTAAATATTAAAACATAATGTTTATAACAACAATATTTTTATTGAGTCGCGATTACCCTTAAAAAATAAAACTCCAGAACCGCCAAAAACCGACTCCAAAAAGATTTATATCAAAAGCATAAATGCACCATTAAATTTTGACAAGATCAAGCTGCCAAGATTGAACTTAATGATCACTCAAAAATTATCAAGAAGTTTATATCACAACTATCATCACACCATCGTCACAATAAACAAGTTCAAAAACAAGATTGATAATAAATAATGGAAAATTTTCCGCCACTGGGAAGTCCGTTGTCGTTAATTTTTTAAAAAAATAATTTGTAATTGTTTTAATCTACTATTAAAATTTAATGCATAGAAACATTTAACAAAACTAAGAAGCTTTGAGAGCATGGAAGGACTTCTCCTGCAGCACACTGCAGATATTAGAGTAAAATCCCGATTTACCCCAAACACAATCGCTAAAGTAATTTATTATTGGTAAATATCATTAAACGTCCGTTGTAATAAAGATGCAAATAAAAGGCAAATAGCATGGAAAAATTATGCACATGTATTATAATAAAGTATCAATTATTATTTTAAAGCAATAATTTACCTAACAGTCTATTAATCTAGAGTTTGTTATTTGATATATTTTTTTTTATAAGTTATTTACAAATTAGTATATATTAAATATTGATGATAATATCTCCCTCCTCCATTAGCAAATGGAATAATTAATATTATGTTATATTAGTTGTGCTATATATTGTGTCATTTATATATTAATTAATATCCTTCTTTTCTCTCCATAATTCGCCTCATTGTAATCGAGAATAGTCTATTAATTCAAAGCAATCATTATCAACAGGGTCGATGCACAATGTCTCATTTTCTAAAGAATCTTGACATGATCGCATATTGTTGTTTGTCGACAATAGATAATTTGTTGATGTTGTGCCAACTGTAGTTTGAGTAATAATTGGTTCCAAACCATTATCATTGCTACAATTAATAATATTGTTGTTGTTAATAGTAATATCATTGGAAGATCCTTCCCCGAATGAAGAATAATCGATTTTAATTTTCGTCATCAACATGGCAGTTCCATCGTCATCATTATTTATTTGTCCTATTTTTTCACTTTTCGTAATATACATTGCAGCAGTGACATCTTCTACTTTATTTTCTTGATAAAAAATGGGGCTCGTGTGTAATTCATCATTAGGAGTCATCAATGGTGTCACTAAAGGTGTATCATCAGGTGATTCAAAATCGTTATTTGGCAAGAATGATTTAGGTTCAAGAAGAAATGGGAATTGTGGAAATGATGGAAATGGATAACCAAGTAATTTATTCTCGTCGTTATTCTCATCGTTAAAATGAAGAAGATGATGTTCAAGGTCTTGCTTGAATGATTGTTCTTCTATGATTTCCATATCGTTATTGTTATTATGAATTGTAGTTTTGGTGGTAACTAATTTTGTAAGTTTTGGTTGTAATGGCAAATGTAGATGGTCGAAAGTTAAGATGATGTCTTTGTTCTTGCGTAACGCTCCATTAAGAATTAATTCTTGACTTGGTTCTATATTGCATAATTCTAAATATGCACTCGGTGGATAGAGATTGTCATGATTTCCTGCAAAATATAAAAATATTAATAAAATATAAAATATAAAAACAATTCAATTATCAATTTAACTACCTTTATTTTCATAAATAACCATGTGGTTTAGACCACCATCCGTCTTTACAGAAATAGTTTTCTTGAATAATCCATCTTTGCGATGTATGAATGTTCCTTTATTACAAATATAATATTTCAAATTTTCCATTTCTATTCGCTTCTTAATCATGTCATCTAAATCTTCGTATTTTTTTATATCAGGAAATCGTGCACACAATTCATGATACACCAAGAAATCTCCCTGAATACGACTTGGCGACCATTGTCTATTTTTATTTACATTAATATACAGTGAGAATATATTTTACATGACCATAATTATGATAGATCGTAATAATGAATTTTTAGATTTTTATTATCCAATCATTCCCCAATACGATAATACACATACTTTCCGTCAGTCCAACGTTTGATCCTTGATTCAAATTCGTCATAAACATAACTAATAGTTTTAATAAAGATAATTAAATATGTGGCCAAAATCATCAACATCATCAAAATCATCAATCAATCAATCAATCATCAATCAATAATCAATCAATCAATCAATAATCAATCAATCAATTTATTATTTACATCGATCCAACACGCAAGCATCTTTTTTCTTCATCTGTTAAACGACGTGTTATTCTATACAATACTCCTTGTCTGCATGCCTCTGCTCAAATAAACAAATAAAATTAAGTTGCGCGTAAAAAGAAATATTTAAATATGACTTTTTATTTTTGGGGCTTTTTTGTGTATTTACCAAAGATGATTAACGCGTCTTTAGTTGTATTGATTATGCCTAAGAACGATGGAAATGTGATTGTTTTTCGTAAAGTACAAATGAAAATATTATAACGATATTATAATATTATATCTTTATATTTACCATGAAAGGTTTCCATTGTAAATGTTAAAATTACTTGTATTTAGATTATTTCAAAGAATTTTTTGGCAAAGAATTTGAATTTTTTGAAAATTCTTTCGATTCATTTATGTATGAAATCATAAGCTTTTTATTATTATTATTATTACCATCATATTACATTTGTTATAATTAAGATCAATTAATTATCCGATTCATGTCACATGGTGGAAAGAAAAATTTTAAACTTCTAATAGACTATAAACGATCAAATCAAAGAACTCTTGAAAAATTCATTTTCGATGTGCGATCGGCGGCAATCGGTAATTTAATCTTTTGTGTAATACATTGTATATATATTAAAGGTAGATAGATAGATAGATAGACAGATTATTATTAATATGACAGTTGTTAGTCGCAAAACTTTTTATTTGTTGATTTATTTATTACTCTTTTTCAATTGTGTTGGATTCTTTTGGAAACAACATTTAAACAATTTAAACATTAAAACAATCCCTTTCCAAAAAAGATCGTCAACACTTTCAAATTTAAGTTTAACAAACCTTGACTACTTCAATTCCAATGTTTTGAATTTAATTTCAGAGGTATGTTCATTAATTTATAATTTTATTTAAATTCTTGTAGAATTTAATCAACGTGCAAATAATTGAATTCAAAATGTTTTTATATCTAAGAACCGAATTTTTTAATCACAGTGTGATGATATCTACAAACATCCAGATCAATGTACTTTTGTTCGCGAGTACTGTAAAGATTATTCTCCCGGTTTGTTCAATTACTTGGAATACTACTTTTGTGATTTACAACATTGGCAACTTTTTGCATTAATGACTTTGGTAAATGTGCAAATATTAATGATTCTTTAATATTACTCATTCGCTCGCTCACTCATTATTTTGATTTATAGTTTCTATGGCTCATGTTTTTATTCGGTTTCATAGGAGTTGCTGCTTCTGACTTTTTTTGTCCAAATTTAAATACAATTGCTTCAAAATTAAATTTATCTGAAAGTATGGTAAATGTTAATGTTATTTTTGTGCAATTAAGAAAATTCATATATATATATATATACACACACACATATATATATTTAATAAACTGACAATAAATATTTGTTATAATAAAAACAAAGGCTGGCGTAACATTTTTGGCATTTGGAAATGGCTCGCCTGATGTTTTTAGTACTTTCAGTGCTATGACACATGGATCTGGATCATTGGCAATCGGTGAACTTATTGGCGCTGCAAGTTTTATTACTTCTGTGGTAGCTGGATCTATGGCAGTGATATCACCATTTCGTGTTAACAAAATCCCATTCCTACGAGATATCACCTTTTTCTCTATTTCAATCTTATTTACACTTTTAATTATTTTGGATGGGGAAATTTATTTATGGGAAAGCATCATTTTGGTTATTTTTTATTTTATTTACGTTAGTGTAGTGGTGGTGGGAACTTGGTATGTAAGAGATCAAAAAAAGAAACAATGGCAAGAGCAAAGAGCTAGAGAGGAATACGATGATTCTATTGTAATGATGAGGCGTGATATTAGTAACGGTGAGATTGGTGATGATGATTATGATTATGATGATATGGATAATAACATGCCTATTGAAGAGGTTTTTGGTGGTAAGATATTTCTCAAACAAATAATAATATATTTAGGAGATGTTACTTTTGATTTATTATTAATATATAGTTTTAAATAAATAATTATCAAGAAAATCAAGATGCATATGGCTACGACACATATAGTGAAAATGATCTTTTACTACCGGATGTTGAACATAGAAGTGGTGCTGATATTATTATCAATGGTAATAGTAGTAGAGGAAGAAGAACTTCATTTAGCAACAACAACAGAGATTTTCAACTACAAGAACAATATTCTCCTCCTTCGTTCATATCTGTAAATGATGTAGTAGATCAAACTATGCATTTTCATCATCACCACCATCATCAAATTATTTCAAATAAAAATACAAAATCATTACATCGGGGAATGAGACCTTCGTTATTTGGTGCAATCGAGGTAAATTGTGTATATAAATAAATCATACATAAATATACCAATATATTATAACTATTAAAGATCATTTTTATTATTTATTTAAAATCATAAAGTTTCGAGATGTTGTCAAATCCCTTAAACTAGATAGCAATGTAAACACATTAGGTTTATTTGGGCATAATAATTCTAACAATTATTATCGTCAGCATCACCAGCGTCATCCGGAAAGACTTGATAATAGATCTAGTAATCCAGAAAGAAAAAATTGGTCTAATATAGGAAGAGGGGAGAGAGCTTTAGAAACTATTGGCGGATCAACTGGTCGTCGTCATAATGTCGGCAATAACGATATTCATGATGCCCCAAAAATAAATATACAAACGCCCAAAATACCATCAACGACAGACGAGGATTTCTTCGCATCTGGTTCAACTTCTTCTAAATTTAATAATAATTCGAATAATTCGGGAGAAATAGGTAGCAGCAATTTGAATGTTCCAAGTCTTTTGGTAATTCCACCAACGCCAAATCAAGGACCTGTTGTTGTCTCGAATATGCCACCTTCATTAAATTCATCTACAATTGATTTATTACCAAAAACTCATCAAGAAGAAGAGAATAATGATGATTTTACTCCGGTGCCCCCTTTAGTTTTAGAATCATCATCATCGCCTAAACTGTCTCCATTTACGTGTCTACGATCATCATTCTGGACAAAGGCTCGAGCAACTTTATTTCCATCGCTTACAGGATTTTCACAGAAATCATATTTTACAAAATCAACTGCTTTAATGGCCATGCCAGCAATTTTCTTGCTTACGTTAACTCTACCTGTTGTGGAAGCAAGTGCTTTAGCATCTGATGAAAATGAAAAAAGAAATAAATTATTACAACAACAACAACAACAACACAATAATTTAGGTTTAGATTTAGATTTAGATTCAGTTATTGATGAACTACTTGAAGAAGAAAATGAAGTTGGTTGGAATAAATGGTTGACAGCCATACAATTTCTATGTGCTCCTATTTTTATTTCTAGCGTTTTATTTGGTAATAACCAATTTTGGGGTTTTTTTGATGTGGAAATTAATATTTTTTTGAATACTAATTGAAATATCTTTAAAATATTTTTTTTACAGCTGGTGACAAATCAAATGTTATTATTGTGTTGTATGCTTTCATTTTTGGGTTGTTAGCATCTATCTTCTGCATCTTATTTACAAGTGAATTTAGAACGCCAAGATTTCATTCATTACTTTGTTTTATGGGATTTGGTGTTGCAATTGTCTGGATATTTCTTGTGGCCAATGAGGTTGTAGGTCTACTTCAAGTAAGTGTAAAAGAAAAGAAAAATAGATAACATGGTTTAATATATTGTATATTATAACGATGATAAATAAATTTTGTTTATTTAGGCTTTAGGCCAAATAATGGGATTATCTGATGCTATACTTGGGTTAACAATTTTTGCAATGGTAATTTCTTATTATTATTATAAACACATACAATATATATTTATTACTAATGTTTTAATTTTTAATAGGGAAATAGTTTGGGAGATTTTGTTGCAAATATTACTATTGCAAAAATGGGATTTCCTATGATGGCCATGAGCGCATGTTTTGGTGGTCCTATGTTGAGTAAGTTTGTTCTTTATTGTCGTTAATTAGCAGGAGAAGCAACTGATAATTATTTTGTATATTAATATTTATATTTTTTATTTTATTTAATAGATATTTTACTTGGAGTTGGTATTAGTGCTACTTATGTAGCAATTAAAACAGGCAGTCCAAGTAAGATTGAAGTTGAAGCAACGTTATTTATATCATCAATTGGATTATTATTAGGGTTATGTTCGGTTATGATTTATTTGCCATATAATGGTTATCGAATGACAAAAGCTTTGGGATATTATCTGATTTCAATTTATGTAATTTGTATGTTGATAAATGTTGTATTGGAAGTGAAATCTATTAATAGTTCATGATTTTTTTTTCTAAAAATTTTATTTAATAATATATAGGATAAAAATAAATAAAAAATAGTAAAATAATATATACATATATATGTTGTATGTGAAATTGAAATTGAAATATTATGGAGCGGGGTGAAATTCTGATAGGCTAATTTGAATTCACATAATTTCATTTTCACGTACAACATATACATATACAGTATATGTAATAATTGCAATTTCCGTGTGGCTTATTGCCATCACACATAACAATTGAAGTACTTTTTGATATTTAACGAGTAAAAGAGATGTATTGTCATAATGTCTTTTATATAATATTGATTAGGGCAATTGACTAAGTGCATCTAAATCAAACTGTTGAGAATCTAAAAAAATATTATCAAAAGAATATTATTAATATAGAAAATGTTAAGCTCAAATTAAAAAAATTTTAATAAATAAATAATAATTACAATTATAATCACTAATAATTGTGACTTTGTTGGAGTTTACAGGTTGTGGAAGATTTGTAAATTTTAATAATCTGCTGATATAAACAGCATTTGGATGAATTGTTATAGTAATTGTTGAAGGATCAAATCTAATCTTATCCATTTCGTCAAGTATTTTTCTATTTGCCCTTAATTCATCAAGCTGTTCTTTAGAATAATTACACTCATTATCATATTCACTCTCAGGATTATATATTAAATCATCTTGAAACGCTTTATACCAAGACCAAGTAATATATTCAATTTCTCCAGCAGATGGACGTTTATCTGGATCAGCATCCATGCATCTGTATGCTAATTCAATATAAAATTTTAGGGTGTTGTTAGAGAATCCTGGTCTTATCCCTTCACATATTTTAATTGCAAGACCTATATCATGTGCAAAATTAGTAAAAGGTTGTAGTCCTGTTGAAATTACTGACATCAATATGCCAAAACTATATATATCTGATGCCATAGTATATGGTTTGCCATTTAACACTTCAGGAGCTAAATATGGCAAGACTCCATTAATTCCATTTTCATTTGATGTTGATGTTTGATTAGCTGGAATTGATAATCCCAAATCTGAAATATATGAAACAATACCATGTTGTAGAATGTTGCCACTGTGAAGATCATGATGGATGATATTTCTTTGATGAATTTGCTTTAAACCTTTAATAATATTATGAAGGATTTCTATTTTACTTTCCCATTTTAAATATTTAAATGTTTTTGATATATAATTTTGAAGACTCCAATCCTCAATATATTGCATTACACATATATACTCTTTTGTAATTTGATCTTGTGTTAATCCATAAATTTTAATTATCTGAACATTGTGATGAAACATAACATAATTTTTAAACTAAAGAAAAAATAAATATTTAATTATGAAAAATAATAATTAATAGAATTTTTTTTTCAAATAAAATTACCACCTCACTTAAAAATTCTTCTGAAGTATTTTGAGAATTATGTAATTTTTTCAATGCAACAATCCTATCTTTACAATGCCTTCCAATATAATCAGTGCATTTGTTACCATTTATCCAAGTAGCTTTGTATATAGTTGCAAATCCACCTTCACCTATCTTTTCAATATTTTTTATATCATAATAAGGAATCCATTGTAAGTAATGATTATTATCATAACTTGTTGCTTCAAGCTGTGTACTTTTGATTATTCCATCTATAGTTTCATTACCACTAGTCCATCCTTCAGTTAATAATTTCAAATCACAAGGTTGGCACCATTCCCAATTAGTTTTATATCTATTACAAGTTGAACATGTGCCATATTCCTTTTTTCTTTTATTTGAATATTCATCATTATACATGTGGTCAAAATTATTGGATTGAGTCATGATGCAATTAAAAACCAAGAAAAATGACATTCAAAATGTGTGATAGAATCAAAATTTGTCCATGATTTTAAAAATCTTTGCTTGAATATATAACAAATCAGGATGCAACTGGTTTAGGTATTTAAAAACTGCCTTACTAAGAAATGATATTCAATATTGTCATTTGTTTATCTTAAGCCATCAATTGATGATAAACCAGTTCGTAGAGCCTGAGTTATATCAATTAATCTCTATGTTTGGGAAAACAGAATTGGTTGGAGAGATATTAAATAAAAATGTTAATTTGATATGGTATTAACCTCGAAGCTGATAGCATAAAAACTAGTTTTACATTTACCACAAGAGTAGCTTCAGCTATGTAACAACACATTTCTTATATCAAACGAGCACCCCCATCTGCCCAATCTTTTGATTTTGTCTCGCCATTACAAGTTTCATTGATACAAGGAATCTTTTTGCACATAATTTCAGTAAAATTTTTCTGGTCCTCAGAAAAAAAAAATTAGTAATAAATAATCATCATTAGGATCAGGGACCAAGTTGCGATGTGAGTTTTCTATATGGATGTACCATTCACTAATATTTTTAGGAGTGTTATTTCCTTTGCATGCTTCTGCAAATTTTTTTGGTTCGGCATCTGATTGAGCTTTAGAGTCTGTTTATGACCCTTTATGATGGCATATCATCATTATATTAATATTAATATATTATAAAAAAAGGGAATTGTTATTCGCACCCCTCCCGTGACTAAGTGTAGTAATGTGACCAATGAATGCCTTTAAAATGTGATGATTTTATTGGTTCGTCTTTGTCTTAGTCACGGGAGGGGTGCGAATAACAAAAATGTAAAAAAATGGGTTAAATTAAAATGAATTTATCCAATTCTGGCAAGTCGAAAAATATGGCATAAAATTCGTGGGAGAAAAAGAATAGAATGTAACATTACATAAAAAATTTTTGATAGTGTAGCGTTACCAATTACAATTTTATTTTGTTGATCAGGACTTATTTTAGTATATTACGATTTATAATTTATTTCTTTAAACTTTATTAACAAAGTGAGTATGGTTTCTAAGCTACAATTAATCCTTGCAATTGATTGGTAGTATCAACTCAAATTTGTCCCCAGAGACGTTTGTTGTGTTTCTATTGTCCATACCCCATATTAATATTAGATGTTTGAAAAAAAGGTCCAAAAAACCAAATTGGCTGATAAGTTACTATTATTATAATGGATTTAACAATTCCGCCAATTTTTCAACCGTTGATCCAAACGATTGTTGCTGTATTAGCCTATGTACTTATAGTCTTGCCTTTGAACATCATTTTTTTTATTTTGGATGTTGGTAAATATTTGATTAATTTATTTGGTAATAAATCAAGACAAGAAATTCCAACTCCAAAAGTAGTTCTTATTACTGGTGCAAGGTTTGTTCATTATATAATTTTTTTCTTTCAAAAATTTATATCCAATGTTTTAATATATTTAATATTTATAGCACTGGTATTGGTGCTGCTTTTGCAGTTGAATATGCGGCACCTGGAGTGACTTTAGGTTTATTGGGTAGAAATGAAGGTACATTATATTAGTATTAGTAGTAGTAATAATAATAACAACAACAATAATAATAATGTTCTATATATAGTACGATTAAATGAAGTAGCAGAACGTTGCAAAGAAAAAGGTGCAAATTGTGTTTTATTGAAAGTGGATATTTCAAACATTGAAGAATTGAAAAAAAGTTTAGAAAGCTTTGATGATTCCCATCCAATTGAATTGCTGTTTTCAAATGCAGGTATATATATAACCATTACTATTACTATGTAAACGGAATTACGTAATTTGCGTCACGTCTCTTTATATTTATTTATAATATTTAAAAAACAATATAGCTCAAGCAGGTGCTACTAGAGATAATTTTGATACTATTTCACGGGAAGATGGATGGCAACGAATAATTGATGTCAATTACACCGGTAATATTGCTACTATAATGACAGTTTATAAAAGAATGAAAGGAAGAAGATTTGGTCAAATTGCAGGTAAAAAAAAAAATAAACAAATACGCTATGAATAAAATACTAGAAATTAAAAATAAAAAAATATACTAATCATAAAAAATAAAATAAAAACTATCACAGTAACATCATCTGTAGTTGGCTTTTTCGGTATGCCAGGTAACTGTTATTATAATGCAACAAAATCAGCATTAACAACATTTTCACAAGATCTTCGTTACATAGCATCTTTTGATAATGTAAAAGTATCTGTGATAGTACCTGGAGCAATAGACACGAATATGTTTCGAGCTGATGTACCTTCTAATAAAATTCATGGGGCTGCTGATCCTAACGATTTGGCCAAAATCGTTAGAAATCAGTTGAATTCTGACACGTTTTGTATTGGCTGGCCTTTCTATCAATATTTAATTTTTTGGGCTATTTCAACTTTTCCTGTTAGAACGAAATTGACTTTTTCTTGGATTTTTGGAAAATTGTTTCAAAAAATTGTTGGGGGTCCCATTACATTGTAATAATGATGCAAATAATGAGATAATGTCGCCAAAGAAGAAAAAATTTTTTTTTGTACAACAGAGGTTACCAATTTTGTAGATCGCATATTCATGCATCAAAAAGAACCAGTTATTTTAAATCATTTTTAATATTAATTAATTAAATAAATGAGATATTGAAAAAAAAATGATAAAACTCCAAATCATTCTAAAAACAATAATCATCAAAAACGATGTCTAAAGAACAAGAATTAACTACTTCAAGTTTAAGATCTCGACACGTGAGATCTGAATCTAGTTCTACCTCCGGAGAACTCCCTGAAAGAACTAATATTAATAAAACCACAAAAGATATTAACACTAACAGTAGTACAAATCCCCAAAGAACTTCTAGAGCCAAACATCTGCGCAGAAGGCCAAAAGAAGATCCGGAGTCACGTAAACCAAAATTGTAAGCATTTATTTATTTTAAGAGAAAGGAATCATACCTTTGAAAATATATTATTTATCGTATGTTTATAAATTGATCAGAAGTAGAGCACGACTCCCTACTTATGAAAAATTTTATAGCAAAGCTATCTATTTTGGTTTGGTGGTAGCAAGGCTAACTGCTGCTTTATATTCAAACATATCTGATTGTGATGAAGTATGTAGAGAATATTGAGAAAAAAAATTTTTTTAATAAAAAAAATATTATTTATTTATTAATCTTTCTTTATCTTATAGGTTTATAATTATTGGGAACCGACTCATTATTTACAGTACGGTTATGGTATGCAAACATGGGAATATTCACCAACATATGCAATCAGAAGTTGGGCTTATATAAAATTGCATGCAACTATAGCAAATGTTTTTGGATATATATTTAATAATGATAAGGTATCAAAAATTATATTTTAAAAATATTTTTTACCTTTAAAATAACATCTTGAATATTTATTTATATTTTATATTTATTTGATAGATTAAAGTTTTTTATGCGATAAGAATATTATTTGCTCTTGTATGCTTAGTTTCTGAAATATTATTTTATCGTACTGCTAAAAATCATCTTGGAACACGTGTTGGACGTGATATCTTATTGTTCTCATTGCTAAGTGTAGGGATGTGGAATGCATCGACAGGTAATTTATAGAAACTTAGCATCTTAAAATATTAATATAGTAATAATAATAATATTACTAATACTAGAAACAACAATAATAATTTGATAAATCTAACCTTAAACTAACTAAATCACGTGCACACACATACATCTTTACATGTATTTTATTTATATCTGTCAGCTTACCTTCCATCAACTTTTGTAATGTACACAACTATGATAGCATATTCTTATGCTCTTAAACCTGTTACATCTAGTTCTGGTCGTAGAATTTATCATTCAATTTTTTGGATCGGTCTTGGATCACTTTTGGCTTGGCCCTTTGGCGCAGCTATTGGAATCATTCCAGCAATAGAAGAAATTTTACTTCGTACTAATTCATTTAAAGATAAATTGCATCGATTTATTCGCATATTATTTTGTTTCGTTTTTTCTTTAATTGTTATATTAGTAAGTTGATATTTTTTTAATTACTTTTTTTTATTTAAAACTCATTGACATGGATTTAATTTTAATTTTTTTGGGGCAAAAAAATAGGCTCCTATTATAATCTTTGATTACTTTTATTATCAAAAGTTTACTGTTGTTCCTTGGAATATTATTAACTATAATGTTTTTGGTGATAAAGATCGAGGACCTACCCTTTATGGAACCGAACCTTGGAGTTATTATTTTATTAATGGATTTTTGAATTTCAATTTAATTTTCATAGTGGCGATTATTAGTATACCTGGATTGGTAAGCTGCGAGTAAAAAAAATTTTATCAGTATGTTTGCATACTACCCGTTAAGAAATCTAATGTTATCTTTTTTTTTTTCACAATAAAATTCAATTAGATGATAACTTTTCTTGTTAATCCTGACCGTGTTTGTTCAACATCTCCAACAGCTGGTCCCGTATTTGCTTATCTTTTCCTACTTTTTAGACTTGTACCTCTTTATTTTTGGCTTCTTTTATTGACACTACAGCCTCATAAAGAAGAGAGATTTTTATATGTAATCTATCCATTGATATGTTTCAATGGTTCTGTATCAATATTTTTGATTAAGGGATGGATTGATCTCATGATAATGTATTTCTCCAATGGCAACTTATATATTGCTGTAAGTATTTATTAATTAATTATATACATATATGATTTCTTTCATCGAAAGAAACTATTCACTAACTTATTTATTAATTATCATGCAAACAAAATCAGCTTACCAAAAGGTATATTTTGAATACTTTGACAATTTGTTTTCTCATCATAACTGGTGCCATGTCATTGTCAAGAACTTATGCTTTGCACACAAATTATCATGCACCTATGGAAATTTATGAGCATTTATATTATAATGAAATTCCTAAAGTTTTAGCGGAAGAAGGTCCTATTAATCATCAAGGAACCATCAATCTTTGTTTAGGAAAAGAATGGTATAGATTTCCAAGTCATTATTTCTTGCCAGATAGAGTTCGATTAAGGTTTTTGAAGTCTGATTTTAAAGGACAACTACCCAAATACTTTTTGGAAAGTTATACTGTTGACGATGATGGCATCACGAGATATAATAACTCTCGTGATGGTACATGGAAGATCCAAGAAGGGTTTAATGACAGGAATTTGGAAGAGACAGATCGTTATGTAAGTAAAATCATTATTTTTATGAATTGAATGGTTTTAATTATGAGATAATTAATGTAATTATCTTGATTTTTGGCAGGTTCCTATACAAAATTGTGGTTATATTATTGATTATAATGCTGATCGTTCTGTTGATGATCAAGTTTCAGAAAATGAACCGAATTATGTCGAGAGAACTGATCAGTGGAGTAAAGTGATATGCATGCCTTTCTTAGATGCAAAAAATTCAAATAGAATCTCTAGATCTTTTTATTTTCCTTCTTTTATAACGAAAAGGCTTAAAACGATTCTAAGCTATGTCCCAGCTAAATTAATTTCACAAAATACAGTTGATAATTTGGGTGATTTGAAATGGGGAGAATATTGTTTATTGAAGAGAATTGCTGAAGAAGGTGCGTGTAATTAATTTATTTATTTTTTTACAAGTATTAATTTTTTTTACTAAAATTATATAAATATAAAATATAGATCAACCAAATTCTAAACCATCAGAAATTACTAACGGTAAAAAAGAAAATGTAGTAGGATTTTTCAGGGAATGGTATAATTTTATTCTTAGCAAGATGTAAATAAAATTTTCTTTGACTTCTTTCTTTATTTTTTATTTTACTAGTTTTTCTTCATTTTTTTATTATTGTAAATATAATTTTTTTATATGATATAATATATAGATAGACTTTTTTTTTTATTAAATTTGATTTTATTTTTTGATTTTATTATAAGAAATTGGTTTATTTTCTTAATGACTATATAAACTACCTGTTTTATTTCCTGAGTTAGAGATACAAATAATTCTTGGAACAAATAGCTCTTTGAATCTGCTTTAGATGATTTTATGACCCCTGATTATTGATTGATTGAAAATTCAATCATAGTTCTTGAACAAAATATCACAAATATTGCCAAATAAACTATATACCAAATGTTTAATATTGAATAAATAATAAATGAATTAGATAATAATTTTCTATTTGCATGTCATTAATTTAAAAAATTTTTCTTTATAAAAAACTTTAGAAGTGGCATAGATTTTTTTTACCGATCATTTATATGAAATTTCCCCCGCGAATTACTAAACATATTTGCTGAGCATAAAATTATAATTACATAATATTATGGGGCCCGACGTAAACTTGCAAATCGCGTCAGAAAAAAAACCTTCTACTAATGATTGATGTAGGCTATTTTGACGATTTATGCAAGTAAAAACCCTTATATAAATAAAAAAACCACTTGACGTAAGTTAAAACACTCGATGAAAGTAAAACCACTTGATACAAATAGCATGTAAAAAAATGATAATTAATTTTTTGACATTGGCTCAAATTTTTTGTCAATTATTTATTATTATTATTAGTATATCATCCAAATTGGTAAGTTAAAATAGCAAATGCACCATATGCGAATAAAATTAAATTAAATATAATTTGTTTCTTTTTTAAGATCATAATTTTTAAAAAATCGTGTTCTCTTGCATGTTAATAAAATTACCAGCATCTGAAAACTTGTGTAGATTATACATATTAGAAATAGGTTGATCACTTGACTCAATCAGGTGACTTTTTAACGCAATTTAGTCATATAAATAAATAATCGAGTCAGACGCAATTAAAACATTGTAACACCAAATCTTATAATAAAATAATAATAATAATAAGCTAACTTGTAATCCGTTAACACGTTATTAATAAATAATATTAATATTGAAAAGCCCCAATTATTGTCGTAATTTTTTCCCAGAAACAATTTTGGCAAATAACTATACCATCATAGTGTAATTATAAAATAAGGGTAAACTTTGTGTACGGTTTAAGCAGTTATCAAATTTTCCAAGACAGCAAAAGGCTATTATACAGTTTAAAAAGCATACTATAATCCTAATTCAAAAAGTTTATTATTTATTATAATAGCAAAGAAATATAATATAATAATATAAATATATTTAATCAAAAATTACAACTTTTTTTTTTAATTATTGACTTTTGATAAATTCAAGTGACTTGTTGGCATGACCTTGAAAATCTAATTGAGAATTATAAACATCTTTGATAATACCCTCTTTATCAATTAAAAATGTTGCACGGCCAGGTAATACTCCTAAAGTTTTTGGAACCTAGAAAAAAAAATTTACAAACATGTCATGTACAATAAAAATAAACAAATAAAAATAAATAAATAAATGCTAATTAATTACCTCAAATGCCTTTCTTGCTTCACCATTTGGGTCAGATAATAAAGAGAATTGTAAATTTTGTTTCTTTGCAAAATTTTTATGTTTCTCTACTGTATCTGAGGAAATACCAAATACAGTTGCTCCTGCTTCTGAAAATTGATCATAGGAGTCACGAAAACTACATACCTACAACAACAACAACAGCAGCAGCAATTTGAAAATTAAATAAATCATAATTGACTTGATTGAAATATGAAAAAAAAAAATTAATAAATTACCTCTCGAGTACAACCATAAGTTTCATCTTGAGGATAAAAAAATATAATACAAGGTTTTTGATTTCCAATATGAGAATTCAATTCAACACTTTCGCCCTCTTGATTTTTTAAAACAAGATTTTTTGGTGCATGTTTATCAATAAGTGGATGGCTTTTACTTGACATTATGACATTCGTTGTAGTTATTGCTCTAATAATCGATGATATTGAAAATGATGATAAATTATTATTATTGTAGTTATTATAATGAAAATACTGTTGAAATCTTGTGTTATTGCTAATATGACTACTATTTATACCACTTAAAATTAGAAATGAATTTGAAGAATGAATGAAACAACTATTTTTTATTGTGATCCTTGTAAAAAAATTCATTAAGAAATATTCTCATGAAATTGATTAGTAATAATAATAGTAATAATAGTAATGAAACAAATTCGTGTTACCAAAATGTATCATAATAAATATTTTCTTATATTGGATGGGAATTCTCTATATAATAATAAAGTTATGATGGTGTCACTTTTTCTCTATTATTTATTGTTTCAAAAGAGGGGACCAAGTAGGGTGAAATATTTTTAAGCTTTCATATGGTACGAGGGTGCTGGTTAATAATTTTTAAAGATTCACAAAAAACTGTTTTAATGTGAATTAAACACTGTGATGAATATAATTTTGATATGTATCATCAACTTATTCACATGGACGTTGGTAAGAAACAAAAGAAAAAATTATAAAATTCATCATGAATGAATCAAAGATCTGCATTTTTTGTCATAAAGACCGATTTTGTTTGATCTACAGATCGAAATATTTTTAATTGACGATCCGATCTGTCTATGAATAGAGGACTAATTGACAAAAAATGGTTAGTACTATAAAATAATGTATTTTTATTTTGCGTTATGGAACAATGCCAAAGAACATCTATACATTTTTTTTTAAGAATATCGAAAAAAAAGGGATTACTCTTGGAGATGTAGAAATGAGAGATTTTTCATATAAAAAAAGTTATTTACGTTTGTGTATAATTATTTTTCTAATTGGAATTTCTATTCGAATAAACTTTGAAATAATTTCAAACATCCAAAATCAAATGAACCATAAGTGGTTCATGTGAGGAAAGATCTTTTTCGATCAAAAATTCAATAAAATTGTTTGGTCAGGTAATATTTCCTAGTCATTTCATAGATGGTAAAATTGGCAATAATGTATATACCATTTGTTGTTAAGGAAATGAATGTATTTTCATGAAATATATTTTTGGGATAGCAAGTATATGTTTTGCACACATTTTCTTTGATCAACGCTCCATGAAAATAAATGAATTTAATAAAATTCTAGAAAATTTGGAAGCATGTGATTTTATATATAATCTCTAGAACTTGAGTTGCGAAATGGCTGTATTTTTTTTTGTTATTATTATGTACGTTGTTACCTTTGAGATGTCTAATACTTTTTGGTGGAAGTCAAAAAATTTAGTGACATCTAAAAAAAAAGATGCGAATCAACTTTACAAAAAAATGGTAATAGTAATTCATAAATTTTTTTTATTAAATTATCTTTTGTAGTTGTTGAGATATGCTATTCTTCATTAGTGCCATTTTTTTCGCAACACACTGTACATTAAAAAAAATATATTTATGAGTTGTTAATGCTTATCTTCACTGGGTTATTAAATTGGTTCGGCTTCACCTAATATAACTCTCATTCAATTTTTAGAAACTCCTAATTGTATCGTTGATTTATGTCAGTTGCATTCAATTTTTGCTTGACCTTGAAATCCAAGAATATTGGAATTGTTTATTATTTCAATTTCTGAATTATTATCCTCGTCACCATCATTATCATTATCATCAACAACAATTATATTTTTATCATCGTCTATAACATCTCTAAAAAAAAAAAAGATGGGAAATTTTGTTTGATTGTATTTAATCTAAAATTCAAAAATCATCTCAAGCTGAAATAGTTCGGCTTTAGGGGCTTAATTTCAGGTTCATGTATACCCTCTACCATCTATATTTTCCTTGTTTACATTTGTTTCAGAAGTGGAAGATAATCTTTCATTCTTTCTAACAAAACAATATCAGTTGGTGAAAAAACTATCAAGTTTTTGTTACTATTACAACATTATATTTCTATCAATTGTGCGAAACATCAATTAAAACGCCTGATCAAAAAAGAATTTATCTTGTAGATCAAGGTATAGTATAAACAATTCCGAAATCCTGCGAATAAATCTTTTGAAGAGGTTTGGCGATTTTTATTTTAAATTGTCAAACTAGTAAAATTCAATCTAATTACTAAAGTTTAAATAACTACCAAAGTAGATATTTATGTAGATCATTATATTTCATACACGAAAAAGATTTAATCCATTGTGATAGTGGCTGCTATATTACAGATCTGGGATTATGTGGCCCAATTGATGATAAATTATCAAATAAATTTTTGGATATCTCGCACCAGAAGTTCTTCAAGGAGGATGAAATAACAAAAGAATCCGATGTGATGTGGGGAATATTTCCTGGGCATCATCATTTGATGACAAAACTCATATATGATGCTTTTTTAATTTTGGACATATGGAACCAAAACCTAAGACCAGACAAGTTTGTAAAGAATGATGGAAAAGTGTTGGGATGCTAATCCAAAGACCAAATATTAATTTTTTTTACTAGCAATTATTTAACAGTGAACAATGACAATACAAGTAATTTTAATATTAATAATAATGATTATTCACAAAAAAGATAAGAATCACATCCATTGGCGTATCATCATACAAGTAGGATATTGGATGATGAAATTGCCAAATCAAACTTAATCTTAATTCCGAAATAAAGGCATGATTGGATTTTTTTATTAAATTAATCTTAGATTCTAATAAGGAGTGTAAGAAAAAAGGCATTGAGGTTTTGAGGTTGATAAATTGGGTGAATTGTCGATTGATGCTTAAATATTTTATTTGAATAAATTTCTATCCGTAGTGTTGTAAAAAATACGTTATATTAATATTATGGTGGTGGGTGGATTTATTTATTCGTCAATTTTATATTTTATTCAATAAAATATGAGATTTTATTACAAACAATTTGGCCAATTTGCTAAATTTTGATCCGTGGTATTAATGTTCATTTTGTCTGGTTTTGTTGCAGCACACCCCGTATAAATGAATCATAGAAACTAATTCGTTAAAAAAAACTAAAATTAAGAGAAGCTTCAATATTACAAGAAAGCAATTGAATGCTTTTCAAGGTATAAATTCCTTTTAATATGTAATGATCCTATCATCTTCACCAAAACATCTAATTTTCATGTCACCATCCCAACTAATAACAGGTTCATGTTTTTTGAACGGTGCTACCAAACTATTCCAAAGTACTTTTGAGAGGTATATATGAGTTTTTTCACTAATAAAAATCATGAAAATTATTTTTAATAAATTTAATGCGAGTAAAAAGAAACTTTTGAAATTAAAAAAATAAAAATAAAAATAAAAATAAAAACCCTACCTTGGATGAAAACAGTCAATGTTACTTAATCCATCAATTGGAAAAGTGGTTAAATTAAAAACAAATCGATTCTGAACAATAGCAAAATCATTTCTTTTTATTTTAGAATAATCAGCAACTACATTTTGTAAAATTTTATTGTATTTTACTGCTAAATCGTCCATGATTTTTCGATTTCGAGCACCAATTTCACCTTTTTTTATTTACAAAAAAAAAAAAAAGAAAGAAAAGCTTTAATTATTCTTTTTTCAAATAATAATAATAATAATAATAACAATTTTTATAATTATATTTATTTACCTGGAGAAAATGCACAAGTACACTCAAAATTTATATAAGGAACATCGTACCATTTACAATATTTTTTTCCGCGCGTTACATCATAAACTTGAGATACATTGGACACGCCCATTATATTTACTATTGTATTTGGTATTTTATTCATAATGTCGTCAAGTGTGTCACGTATATTTTTTTCAAATTTTTCAGGCGATGTATTCTTATTATTACAGCTTTGACACAAATCATTATTTCCAATAAATAAATTCAAAAACTGATAATTTATAATTATTAATATATGGTATAATATTATTATTAGAAAAAAAAACACGAATATATATACTGTATGTATTTATTATGAATTAATTAATTACTTTAAACTTTCCATCAACATGTCTTGATCCTTTACGAGCTTTTTCAAGATTAAGTTGTAATAAAAGGTAATTAACTTGTCTACGAAGATTATCAGCCATTGCACCAGACTGTGCACCATTAAGACGATCTTGTGAAGGTCTGTATTGATACGGCAAACAAAACAAACCTAATCACAAATAAATAAATCATTTAATTCAATTAATCCAACTAACAAGCAAAATAATATATATAATAAAAATAATAAATTAAATAAATTAAATGCCTTGACATATATGAGCAAAATGATCTCCTAAAGATGCTCCAATCAAACCATCTCTAGAATAATAATTCAAAAATCTTGCCAAGGTAGTTGCATTTTCATCACCGCCAATTGCAAAACTCAAGCCACGATTCTCATATAAATCTCTATGATCAAATGTTTGTAAAGATTCGTTGTAATCACCATTATTATTATTTAAAAAAATTTTCTGTTGTTGCTGCTGTTCCTTTTTAATTTGTTTTTTATGTTTTTTATTAGTTGATCTCGTTGATGATTCTCCTTCTTCGTTTTTACCCCAGTTGCGCTGACCTTTTGCAGCAAATGCTGCTGTGATACTATCGCCTAATGCCATTATATAAGTGATATCGTCTGCTCTCAAATCATGAATTGTCAAATTTTCAACATCACGTGGCGATAGAGGTGGACATTCTTCAATTGTATCCACATACTTTACTAAATTTGAATGTGAGATGATCTTTAATGAAGAAGTGGTGTCAACTACTGCTGTTGAATTTGTTTGACATTCTTCTAATGTAGGCATTGTGAAAATGAATAAAGAATAAATTGTTGCAACAAAAAAAACTGAAGCCAAACATATTGTCCATATGTTTGAATTATCCATTTTTTTAGTTTTTTTTTTCTTGAGAAAAATAGGAAAATCAAGTGTATTTTATACTAAAATAATTGTGATTGTTTGTGTCAATATCATGATTTTGCATAACTACGAAGGTACACAAATATAAATCCAATTTGGGATTTATTATTATTTAAAAAACTAGTTTTTGAACCTGATTTTTAAATTTAATAATTCTATAACAAGGCTTTTTTGTTTACGCCACCAGTTGTGCAATAATTCTTATTGTGGTACAAGTTTGAACTTTCCCACCAATAACGTGGAATGCTAGGTGTTAAATTCTTCTGTCTTATAAAAATATGTCACTCATGATTCTACAGCATTAACATCCCGATTCCAGATTCTGATTTTGCTGGCTTTGACAGCATAGAATCATTGTTGTTGATCAAAACTGCTCATAATATTTTGAACATATTTTGAGGTGTTATATTCATCAATCAAGATCACTGTACACCTTTTTGATAGTTCTCTTGAATTCTTTATTAAGACTAGGAGGTTTTCTCAGCATGTTTATGAAAATTCCGCACCTCCGAATGCGACTATTGTAACAAGCTTTTTATCAATCATGACATTAAATACCCGTCTTTTGTTTGTTGATATGTGATTTTAAACGTAAACAGCACCAGTGACGTTCTGCATATAATTGAAGAACTTGACCAAAATATCCAAGAACATACCAAAGATGATCAATCCACAATACTCATAAACATTGATAGCAGCAGATCTTTGAAACTACCTTAATGAAACTATTTCTTTTGTTAAAAATATACAAAGATTAACGTTTATTCTTCAAGTAAAAACGCAACATAACAAAATAAAACAACATGAATACCTAGTTTGTATTCCACCCATCATGTTCAAAAAATAACACTTTTGAAGACATATTTAAAATGATTTAATGACAAATATGACTTTTACTAAACCTTCTTGGACCATAACTCTCATTTTGATCTTGCATGTTTGAACCCTGCAAAAGTATAATGTTCATTATTAGTACATCTAATAACTTTATCTTCTTCACTCACACAGCCACAGATAATTATTTTCTAGATTAATGAATGTGCTTATAATCATTATTTTCATCAACCTTTTCACTAACTTCTTTTTGTAAAGAAACTTGTACAAAGAGTCCATCAGTTTGAATGTAAAAGACAAGCCGTCTATTTCTGGTGGCACCATTTTCAATATTAAAAGCAATGTTCCTAAATTCACCAATGTTCTTTTATCAATTGACCTAATCAGCGAATGTAAAGCATTTGTATCAATGGTAATATTCTTCGTTCTATGAGAACGTTCTGTAAGAAGAAGAGTAAAAGGCAAAGTCCTTGTTCTCAATTGTGCTTCTTGAAAGTGTCAGGGACTATTGTTTGCTCTCTGATTTTTTAATCATGTGTAGAAAATCTTTGTAATATGTTTTTCTGCATCAGATCTTAATGGCTATGGTTGATTTTTCCCATGCAAGTTGGACAAGTATATTCTAATATTTAAAAAATTTATTACAAATGTCAAGCATTATTATTCAAAGAAATTATAGGATGCTAGAGTAATATTTACTTGATTTTTTTGCTTGTTCTTTTTTTAAATCTTTGTTTGCTTTTCTTTAGCCGCACTTTTAGATGATTCTGCATATGGTATATTATAAAATAATAATATTAAAAATATTTAATCATGAAAATCATATACATACTATTTTTTTAATGAGAATCTCTTTCATGATTATCAGCTTTTGATTGATTTTGATTTTCTGGCATTGATATATATTAACATTAGAAAAAATATTCTGGTTGTAATGGGAATTTGATTAAAAATTTGTAATAAATAAAACAAAGTTGACGAAAATTTTTTTTGAAATGATTAAAGTGTTTTTTGAAAACAGATTTTAAGTTTAATGAGAGTTTTGAAGATGGTTTTTGGATTTGATTGTTGTTTAAAATGGGTTTTTTTGACTTTTAAAAAATATTCGAATAAAATTTCCTTGCTCTTGTAGTAAAAACTAATTCTATGGCAAATGCTTTTGTCACACATAAAAGAGTATGGTTGTAGAGAAAATGATTGCTGACACCAAAGAGAGAAAAAATGTAAAAGAATATAACTTTTTTTGAACTCATTACAAAAAAATCTTAATAAAAGTTCAAGGTGATGATGTAGAAGAGATATATAATAAATTATTTATGACTAAAAATAATTACTAAGTCTTACCTCTTAAAATAAATATTAATACTACTATTAGCATTTTTTTATGTCAAAAAAGTGATTGAATGCTTTAATATGAATATTGGATGTATTGAGTAAGGTTTTTTTTTATAGTGCTCGAATTTCCTTTTTCACATTAGGTCAGAAAATGCGTGATTAAGGGAGCTAACCTCCTTGTGGTTCAAAATTCGCGTAACAAATTTTTAAAAGTTTTTTTTTGAGAACCCCTCACTACTATTACTATCACACGGGAATGACAGTTGAGTATCAAAACGTAAATTGATATGGCACTTAAACTACTATATATAATATATATAACAGATAACAATAATGACTGCTCTTCACAATTTATGATTAATTATAAGTTCATTCATATTAATAATTTGAAAAATATCATAGTTAAAAGAATGCAATGTCTATAAAATTTTGACTAATATTAAGGCATTCCAACTATGTATGAGTTGCTTTCAAATTCGCTGTGAAATATTCTTATAGCATTTAATAATATTTATCGTTTTCGTTAATTTGTTATATATTTCTTGATTGGGAAGCTGATTATTGAGTTTGTAATTGTTGCTCGCCCAATGTTTTTTTAACTGATGTTTTGGCAGCAAGGAGCTAGCTATATATAGATAGGTTTTTCGAGTTGTACTATATAGCCATTTTTATTTTTCATTGGACAAAAAAAGATTTGTAATGGAATTGAACAAATAAAATTATATTAAAATGGATCAAGATACAAAGGAAACAATTACTAAATATCTTGAAGAAAATATATCCAATATACAATTCAAAACTTTAAGACCTGATGAAGTTGAAGCAAGCGATGATGAAAAAATTGAAATAATGCGCAAAACTTTGGAAGATCCTGCTTTGTTTCTTTCGAAATGGGGAAAATATTTGCCGGCAGATTTATTATCAAAGTTTGAGACCTTTAGAAGTAGTACCTTTGTGTTTGTTGCTAAAATTCTTTTTTTTTAAGTTAGTTAATTTATTGAATTAGAAAAAAAAAATTTGTATAGCACATCAAAAATTATTTTTTTTATTAGCGAATTTATAATTTGTAAATTGTAATTGATAAATTATAATATTAACTAATAACACACACACACACACACATATATATAGATGATTATGAAGTGAATTGGTATTTAAGCCAATTAGAAAATGATCAGAGACAAGAACAAATATTACTAGCTTCAAAAAATCTTGAGCCTAAAAATCGTCGTAACAAAAAAATACTTAATCGTCGATATCAGTATCTGATTAAAAATCTTGATAATACAGAATATTTTAGTGATGAGTCAATAGAATCGAGAGAACCATTACTATATGAAGATTATGTTGGGAAATATATACCAAATGATGAAAGATATCCACCTTTTGATCAAAATATTAGTTTAGTAGATAGAATGCTATATAATATTGGTAATTAAATCGTTATTGTTATTATTTTTATTAATAACTATCATTGTAGATAGGAATTAAAGTTTTTCTTTTTTAATGAATAGATCTAAGTTATATACAAAATAGATTAATTGAAGAAAAAATAATACAAGAAGAGCAGTTTCAGGAAGAAGAAGATGATGATGAATATGAAGAAGAAGAAAAGCGTGAAAAAGAGGAACGTGAAAAAGAGAAAAAGGAGTTGAACGGAAGCCAAGAAAATCTTGACCAAAAAATTATAGATAATACTAATGATAATGATGGTGGTACAATTCTAAATGCTACAGAAACTATAACTGTCAATAATACTACCGTCTCTACAATTACAGAGACAGCAAACATAGTGCCTGACCAACAAATCATAATATCAGACGAAGAAAGACAACAACTCAGAAACGAACTTGTGGATATAATGAGAAACAAATTCTTAAGTGGAAATGATGTTAGTAGTTTATGATAATAAATATTGTTCTTGTTTATTAGATCAATATTTTTATTAAAAAAAACTATATATCTATATAAATAAATATATATATGTTTAGCCTGATTTTGACTACAATAGCGTGGACTTTAATGAAGAGTATGATGATATAAAAGCTGAAGAACAAGGAATCCAAGGTATCAATTAATCATATTAATTAATTAACAATTTATTATGTTAAATATTAATTTTTAATAATTAATTTTTTTATTTAAAAAAAGATCAATATTTTGATACAGGTAAATTTCAGATTAATTATTTTTATTTACTTTTTTAATTTGACTAAATAAATAAATAAATAAATCTAGAAGAGCCTGATGAAAAACAAGTTAGTACTGATACTGGTGTTTTGGATTATTAAATAATATTCTTTCTTACTAGTAATCAAGCAAATAAATAAACAATTATAATTTATGATTATATTACATAAAAAAAAATTTGATATTTTTTCATTGTTCCGATTTACCCATGGATTATTTTTGCAAGCAAATAATTAATTAAACACATGTAAGAAAAAAGTAATTTTGTTCGATAATTGACTTGATAACCAATCTTTTGCTTCAAATTTTTTTAATTCAAAGATAATGGTTCATATGTGCTTGTAATGCTGATTTACGGTCAAATGATTTGGTGCATCCCGAATGTCCATATTTGAAATATTTTTTTCTAGATGAGCTGTCATATGTCTTTGTAATGAATCATGATATGAATAAATTTTTTGGAACATCCCAGATATTTGCATCTTCCAATATGAGTTCTACTATGTTTAACAAGATTAATTCTATTTATGAAGGTTATATTACAACCTGGAATTTTGTTAAAGTTTTTGTCATTTTGATCTGTGATATTGTGACTGTTGTTGTTGTTATCTCTGTTATTGCAATCGTTGTAAGTAGACATGTTAATGGCTGTAGTAATATCATGATTTGACATTGTTAGATCATTGTCTTTTTCATTGATGTTATTTTCATTATCATCTTCACCTTCATTACTACAAGTACAATAATCATCTGTTTTTTTTTGATACTTATCATTATTATTCATATGGAACCAACAATATATTATACATACAAGAACAATAAAATAAATTAAATAAATGTCATTTTTTCTTTAAACTACTATTTGAAAACGAGAATATAGACATTCAATATGTACACTTTTGCATTCGGATCGACTCAGAGCTTTAGCTACAAGAAAATATTAATAAATTGAACCTAGAGCATCCATCAAATGCAAGAAATTTCATCCATATTGATAATTAAATACTGGTAAAAGAGTTGACTGATGACCAAATTATAGAGGCAGTAATCCAAGAAACTGAAATTAATGATCTGGAAGAGGAGGAAGAAGCAGTTATTTCTAATAGGGAGGTATTAGGAAAAATTGTAAAAATACACCCGACATTTTTAATATTAAAATGGAAGATTTAATCCTGTAAAAGAAAACTTGAAGAATTAATTTAGGAGTCTGCAACAAGTTACTTTGGATTGTTGTATTAATATATTATTAAATATACATAAATAATGATGTTCTGATTTTTGATACGTGTAACATTAACTCACGAGTACTCACGTGTACTCATGAGTACACTAATCGGTTATGGCCTTGTCAAAATTAATTATAACAAAAAACCCACTTTACCGATTCCTTTTTTAAACAAAAATGATACACCAAATTAAATTGATTTGCAAAATAAAAAAATAATACTTCTTTTTTCACTATTTTAAAAAATTGTTTCCATCAAAATGTCAACAATATTTTCATCCTCAGGAATTATAGATAAATTATTTAACAACCTTATTGGTTCTAACAATGATGCCTTACCATTAAGATATATTAGTAAACTTGTGAATGACTTGACAGAATTGTTAAATGGATCCGATTTTTATGATATGGAAATTAGAATTGGAAAAGGCCAGGATATGAAGATTTTCAAAGCTCATTCTGCAATTTTGCAAACAAGATCTTCATATTTTAAAACTGCTTTGTCAAATAATTGGATTAAAAAATCTGATGATGGTAATATTACTTTATTTCAAAAAGAAAATATATTTCCAAATATATTTGAGATTCTTTTAAAGTAAGATTGTTTTAATTTTGATTAATTAATTATGAAAAAAAAAAAACACTAATTTTTGTTTTTCTTTTAAAAGGTATATTTACTCTGGAGTTATGAGTATAGATAATTTGGGACCAGAAGAGATCCTTGAACTTCTTGAAGCATGTGATGAATTAGATTTTAATGAATTAATTGAAGATTTACAAAATTACTTGATCATTGAAAAAAAAGAATGGGTTCAACAGAATTTAGTTTACATTCATCAATTTTCATTACATCACCAATCATTCAATTTGCTTCAAGATTATTTTAATGAATTAATCCATGACAATCCTCAATTATTTTTGAAATCTGATGATTTCAAAGATATTGACAAATCTGTGCTCATGTCTGTATTGGAAAAAGATAATATGGAATTAAAAGAGATTGATATTTGGGACTGTGTTATTCGATGGGGAATAGGTCAAAATGAAGAATTGGAAAAGGACATTTTCAAATGGGAGAAGGAGGATTTTGCCATGTTGAAAAATACATTGAAAGATGTTATTCCATTAATAAGATTCGAGGAAATTTCATCAACTGATTTCCATGATAAAATTAAGCCATTTAGTAGTTCTTTTGATAAAGAAATTTATAAAGAAATCCTTCAATCATATCTTAATGGGAAATGGCAGCCGAGGTTAATGCTTCAAAAAGGCCCAAGAACAAAAGGAGAGTTATTGAATTTAAAAAAGAAATTTTTAATTTCCAGCTGGGTTGATCAAAAAAAAGACCCATATAATGATCCAAATAATTTACCTTATGAATTTAAATTAATTTTTCAAGGAACTCAAGATGGATTTTCTAGAACTGTTTTTGAGAATAAATGTTACAATACAGAACAAACTGTGACTCTTATGAAAATCAAAAAAACAGGAGAATTAGTTGGTGGCTATAATCCAGTTGGCTGGAATATTGAAAAGAAACATCCAGACGAAGAATATTCTATTGTAACAAACAAAAGTTTTATTTTCAAGATTGATGAAAACCGAATAAATGATTCGATATTAAGTAGAGTCAAAGATCATGAAAATGCAATAATTTATTGTAACAAGACTTATGATTTTACTCGAGACAATATAAAATTTAAAGCAATTAATTTTAGTTTTAATGAGTTACAATTACGAATTAGTGCTGATAATAAACCTTATTGTTATTATCGTTTTAAAGATGATTGTCAAGATTCTTATGAAAATGATTTGAATTTTATAGAAAAAAACAAAGAACTTAACTTATTAAGAGAATGTGAAGTTTATAAATTAATAAGGAAAGATTAATTATTTTTAATTAATTCATGATGGATTTTAACACAAAAAAAAAAATAAACTAATTTAATAGTGTATAGGAAAAAAGATGATCAATAATGATTTTTTTTATTGTTAATAGTTGCCTCACGAGCTCATATAACAAATATTATTAATTAGCAAATATATGGACACGTGAACAAATCATAAATGTAATCCTTTTAAAAAATCCAAAGCCATTATACTAAAATCTTTGTTATTATGTATTATGTAGACAGATTTTTATGCACTCCAGTTTTATGCTTGTCAAGAGCAAATTTACGACTAAATTTCTTTTCACATCCATCTGTATCACATTTGTAATTTCTGATTCCGAGGTGAGCTCTTATGTGTTGTAATAAAATATCTTTACGATAAAAACTTCTTGTACATCCAGCATAATCGCACCTAAACTTTCTTTCACCATGAATCACACTATGTTGGCTAAACGATTTTCTAGACCTGAAAGACTTGCAACAACCAGGAAATGTGCAAGCATATACGGAATTACTTTGATCCATGGTATCATGGTTGTTATTGTTGTTAGTAGCAACAGCAATATTTTGATTCAACATCATCAGGTCATTGTCATGAAGATTTTCATTACCAATTTTTGAATATTTATTTAAATCTTTTATCTCAGGATGACTACTTTGATCTATGGTATTATAATTGTTGTAGTTGTTGTTGTTATTGTTGTTAGTAGCAACAACAACACTATGACTACTTTGATGATCTATGGTATTATAGTTGTTGTAATTATTGTTGGTGTTGTTAATAGCAACAGCAACGTTTTGATTCAACATCATCAAGTCATTTTCATGAGTACTTTCATTGCCAATTTCTAGATATTTACGGTTTAAATCTTCTATTTCTAGATGATTACTTTGATCTATGGTATTACAGTTGTTGTAATTATTGTTAGTGTTGTTAGTAGCAATAGTAACGTTTTGATTCAACATCATCAAGTCATTGCCATTAACATTTTCGTCACCAATTTGTGGATAATTACATTTTAAATCTTGTATTTCAAGATGGCCACTTATCGTATGGTTTTGTAAAGCATCTTTACATGCGTATGTTTTGCCACATCCTGGATATTCACAATTAAAATTTTTTATTTCATGTTGAGATTTTGTGTGTTTCAGTAAACTGTATTTTCGAGTAAATGTTTGCCCGCATCCTGGATATTCACACATGCTTTTTATTCCAAGATGTACAATTTTGATGTGTTGTAATAAATTGTATTTTTTATTAAATGCTTGTTCACATCCTGGATATTCACACTTTATATTTTTTATTTTAAAATGAACAGAGTTTGTGTGTTGGACCAAGTACCATTTACTATGAAACGATTTACCGCATTCTGGATATTCACATTTAAATTTTTTTTCGCCGTGTATTTTGCTATGAGCTTTAAGTTTTTGCATAGACTCGAAAGTCTTACCACAACCTGGGATTTGACAAAAAATTACATTGTTATTTTGATCTGCGATATTATTATTATTATTGCTATTATTGCTGTAGTAGTAGTTGTCGTTGTTGTTACTATAAGAATTTGCAGGATATGTATTAATTGTTGTAGTAGGAGTAGCAATAGAAGATGAGGGCTCGTTACTAGTGACAATACTGTATTTCTTGAGAATATTTGGATTTAACATAAGGTCATCATCACTCTCATTATCGTTATCATAATCACAACCACTAACTTCATCACTAATGCCATCATCACTATCATCGTCATAATCTTCATCTTCATCGTCATAATAATCATCATTATAATCATCATCACCGTCGTCATTATTATCATCATGATATTTTTCCAAGATTTTATTAATTTTATCAACATCTTATATAACAACGGAAATATCAATTTTTTTAATAAATAAACAAATAAAAAATAAAATAAACGCGTAACGAACATGAATCAACTAATATTTCTTTGAAATACCTTTTAGAAAGTTTCTAATACTTGGATATTTTTTGATTTTTTTTGAAAATTTTATATGTAGGTTTAGATTAATTTCCATTATTTTGAAGATGATGAAACAAGAGAATATGAGATATCACATATCATGATAATGGGATATAATTGGATAATCGCGCGCGCACGGGGTCAATCAGTCACTAATAATGAAAACAACAAATAATTGTAACAAAAATATGTAATCAATTATATTTTTATTTCTTCATTAATTGTTAATATTTTTTATTGGCATGTAAATAATGGATGCTGGTAAAATGAAAAAAATCACAATGATTATAATGAAGATAGAAATACATCAGTGATAATAACAATGACAGTGATAAAGATATCGACAGCAAAGTTGGCTATAAAGACAATGATGGTAGTAATGGTAAGTATTCATGATGATGAAACTAGTGATAGCAGTATTGGTGTTAATGGTAATGATAATGAAATCGATGATGATGACAGTGATGACAATGATGACAGCAATAGTGAAAATAGTAATGACAGTGATAGTCATGAAAATAATGATGGTTGGTATGATAGTTATGACAGTGGTAGTGACGAAAATAGCCTGATGTTAAATATTAAGAAATATATAGCAGTAATACTTGTTCTTCTCCAGTTGCTACACTAACAGCACTTACAACAAAAACAGCAATAATAATGATGACAGTCATAATATCACAGGTCAAATTGAAGACTTATCCTTTAGAAGTCATCATAATATGATTCACCATGGAAAAAAATTAAGTGCGAATATCCAGGATGCGTTAAGGTATATTCCCGTAAAGGTGGATTACTACTCCACACAATATCTCACTATGGAATAAAAAATTTAAAGTGCAAATATCCAGAAATTGGTGATAGAATTGATGATGGTGATAATGACCTGATGGTATTGGATCAAAGTAATACTGTTGCTACTCCTACTACTGTTAATATGTCTAATTCCTGTCATTATAGTTGGTAATAATTATTTATAATAGTTCAGATTAAGATGATGATGAACTTTTGCGTTTAGAAGTTTACTTGAAGATCATAGTATGATTCACAATTGAAGATTCTAAGTGCGAATATCTAGGATGCACTAAGTCATATGGATCATAAACGTGATTTAAAAAGTCGCATAATAATTAGTCATAGAACAAAAGATTTAAAGTGTAATATATCCAGAAATTGACGATAAAATTAATGATGGCAACAAAGATTTTGCTTGCATCAAAAATAGAGCCAATCTTAAAAAAATATAACTCTTTTTGGAAAACGCGAATATGGATGTTTCATTCATGATGATTCATTACAAAAACGCGTAAAATTCATGAAAAAAAAATTTTCAAGTATGAACATTCGAGATGTACCAAATCACACTTATCGTAAATCAGTATTAGTATTACAAACACATATGAACAGTCATCTTGGAATTAAAAATTTTGAATGTGATGTGGCAAAAGATTTGTTACCAGACCTAGGCTTAAGAGACGTCAATATAATCATAAAGATTTGCTTTGATAATAATGTTTATTATAAATTATTTTCTTGATCTAGTTTATATCATGTAACTATGCTTTGACTAATTAACTGACCGACTGACTGACTTATTGATTGATTGATTGATTGATTTCAAAATATCAGGTACAAAAATAATAATTATCAACATTATATTTTATGCATGATGTAAAAATTAAGTATGTGGACAAAGGTCTATTTTTTGATGACTTGGTATAACTAAATGATTTGTCTACATTGCTTTAGTTATTCATTTAATTTATTCATAAGGTGAAAAAAAAAAATCTAAACAAATGCTGGTTTTATAAAAGAAATCAAACTTATATTATTTAAAAAATGAGTTTTTTTTATAATTGTAAAATATTTTTATCTTTATTTGTGGACAAAATTTTGATTCCATTTTAACAACTCATTAATATCCTTTGCCCAATCTACACCTTCATTAACACGATTTATAGAAGGTATTGGATATGGAGACATTTGCACCTAATTAACCGTCAATCAAAATGATTTTGTTAATTGATTTATTTATCGATTGAATGAATAAATAATTGATGGATTTCTTTTTTATATTCAACATACTTCCAAATATTCTCTATTATTTAACAAACAAATTTCTGTAGCGTCTACAGTCACCTCAGTTGGTGCTCTACTTTCTTCACCTATCTTTTTTTATTTAAGTTCAATTTTTTAAAAAAAATATACCAATTAGTTGAAAAAATCAAGAGAATTCATTACTAACCCTCATTTGAATTTTGGATGTTGGTGGTAATATTATAGTTCTAAAAGATAAAGATCTTGGACATATTGGCGTTAGCAAAATATTTTGTACCGAAGGATGTATTATCGGTCCACCTAAATAATAGCAATATGCTGTTATCATCATCATCATCATCACCATCATCATCATTTATTTTTGTTTTTAGGGAGAATCGATATTAATTACCAGCTGATAAAGAATATGCAGTTGAACCAGTTGGTGTAGCAACGATCAATCCATCTGCCTTTTAAGAAATAAAAAAATTTGATTTTTTCAATTTTTTTTTTAAAAGAAGATTTTTTGAAATAAAATGAAATAATAAATAATATATATATTTACAACAGCATTAGTCAAGTATTGTCCATCAACAAAGCATTCGATATTAGTTAAATGTGGATACCGTCCTCGATGTAAATTTACTTCATTCATTGCTTGCATATCACCTAATAATAAATTAACAAATTAATTGAAATAATTGAAATATTTATGTTATTATTATTAAAAAAAAACTTTTTAATTACTTGATCACCAATTAACAAGTGATAAAACTAACCAATTTCTAATCCACTGGTTCTTTTGATTCTTGTTCCATTTTTAGCCCATACTGAACAAGCAAGTCTCATACGTAACAATAACGATACATCACCTCTAATCACATCATTTAATGCTGTTTGGTAATCTTTTATATCTATTATTATTGTGTATAATAAAATAAATATTAGAGAACATTAATAATTAGAAAAAAACTTTTTTTCCAAAATAAATGTCAATTAATAATAAATAATTAATCATAATGATCATAGGAATAATAATATACGAAATGGTAATAAAAACCCCAAAGTTCCCATTGAAAATGAAATAATTGGTGGTACACAATGATTAAATAATGATGAAACATGTAGAATTGTCCCATCTCCACCTAATGTAACAACAAAATCTACAGCTCTTGTATATTCATCTTTCCTTCCTATAATAAAGAACATATAAATATAAATATAACATAGACTTTCTCCAAAAAAAAAAAAGATTCTTCTTACCTGGAGGTATAACATATACGAATGGCAATTCCTTTTCAAAATCTTTTGCTACATCAGGCTCAAGTATAACATTGATACTTGGATACCTTTTATTTAACCACCTAAAAAAGCATTAATAAAAAGATCAAATAATAAATGATGAGAAATGAAAAAAAGGTAAACTAATTGCAAAAAAAAAAAAGAAAAAGAACAACATTACTATTCCCATCAAAGCTTCAGTTGTGGCTTTAGTCATTGGTTTTTTTACTACTAAAACATTCCTAGGAGGTTGAATCCAATTCAATTTATAATTTCCTCTTTTAAAAATAACATAAAATTAAAAAATGAAATTCCTTGACAGAAATCTAAATATCACGAAATAGTTATTCTGCTAACCCGTATGTAGAGCCAACTGTTTGTTTTATTCCTGTTGTTGCAACACCTAAATGTTGCAATGTTTTCGAAACATTTTCTTCCAGATTTATTTCTAATCAATAAAAATTATACTTGTAATTATGTTCCTAGCTATAGTTGTGTTATGAGTAATAATCAAACTTATTTTACCTATTTTCTTCTCAACTTGAATTAATGATATTTGAACTTTATCTGGTATATTTGTTGTAAACGCGAATCCTCTTTTGATGATAAATTTATCCAAATGATTTTTATCAAACTTAAAGTTTCTATTTAAAATCTTCGTCTGGTGCATAACTCTTGGAAATGCATTGCTAAACATTTTTATTATAATTATCAAATTTACAAAGATCGAATTTTAAATTTTTTTATAGCAATGATGATCAAGAAAAAAAGTGATCAATGGACAGAATCTTAAGGATACGGTCCAGCACGTGATCATTTATTAGTAAATCCTAGGGGTTAGGGGGGTTCAATACGAATGTTACACACTATGATTTCGCAAAACCAAAACTGTCCTCCCTCGAAATTCATAAAATTCAAAATTTTATATAACAAAATAACGTTTTTACTTTGTAAACTTTTCAAATAAAATAAACACACTTTTTGATCCAAAAAATATTTGTTCCTTGAGGTAAAAGAGAAGTAGTGGTCAAGTTCTTTTTACGTCTAAGGCTTTGTTTATTTTTTTTTTTCAAAAAAAGTTTTTTTTATTTAAGCCTCATTTTAATTAAACATTATGTTTTTTTGCTAACACCTTTTTAAATGATGTGTTGGACTTCAAGTGTTGCAACAACAAAGGTACTGTGGGCACCAAGTCTGCCCAAACACAAGAGTTAGTTAGGTTTTGATAATAGATTTGTTCTTTTTATTACATTATTATTATTATTTACTGATCTACATTATATTTAAAATAGAAGGAAGGGTTAATGAGCAGAAATAAATAATATAATTAGAATTGTTAGTTTATTTCATTTTATACATTCACTTAAAATAATACAGATTTCTAACATTCTATTTAAAATGAATCTATGGTTGAATTATTGTTACGCGAGGTATTATTACTATACTCCTATTGTATATTAATGATAATTTTTATATATAATAATAACATTGTGTTAATATTTATTTGTCTTCTTCAAAAAATAGATCTAGAATTATTGTTATGTGACCATCAAAAAAAATCAACATCAATTAACTGATGGTAGTAGGTAATGATACTACTGCTATGAATTATTGTATATAATAATAAAATTATGAGATCTATGGGTTAAACTAAATCATTGTTACGCATACTATTAATGATAATTCTTTATATTAATATAATAATAACATTGTGAGATCTATGGTTACGCGTACTACTTATTGTATATAATAATACCATTGTGAGATCTATGGTTAAACGAATTGTTGTTACGCGTACTATTAATGATAATTCTTATTGTATATTGTATATAATAATACCGTTGTGAGATCTATGGTTAAACGAATTGTTGTTACGCGTACTATTAATGATAATTCTTATTGTTTATTGTATATAATAATACCGTTGTGAGATCTATGGTTAAACGAATTGTTGTTGCACGTACTATTAATGATAATTCTTATTGTATATAATAATACCATTGTGAGATCTATGGTTAAACGAATTGTTGTTGCACGTACT